GTTATATTTCTCTAAAAAAAGTATACAAAAGTGGAGACACACATTTTGTGCTGGTGTGTTTTTTTCCCATCAAACCATGGCTTAATGTGTTGCATGAGCACCACCATATCTTATTCTGGAGGTTTACCCATCACACCAAGCTTTATGGTGTTTGCTGGAGGGAAATTTACATTTTTAGTCAGGCCTCAGCCTGGACAAATGCCTGCATTGTTTTTATAAAGTCAGTGGGAATATGATCAGCTTAAACCAAAGGCAGGCATAGGCAATCTCTCAGCTGTTTTGGAGTGCAACAGAAAGAAAAGTTTTCTTACTCTGCTTGTGGCAGGACCTGGCCTTGAGGCTCCTGAAGTGGAATATACGGAAGTAGAAGTGTCGGTGCCCGACCCTTACCGAGGTAAGGAAGATGTCAACTTGGGATACAGTGGGTCCAGAACAGCTGTGAGATGATGGTAATTCTCCAACCCCTTTCAGAAGCAGCCACAATTAGGCCTGAGTAAACAGGAAGAAACACAGCCCCTGCTTCAAGAGCCAGCAGGTCTTCCTTCTAACTTGTTTATTAATTAACAAACAAGCCTTTTATCCTATTCATTGTGACAAGATGGGCCACCTGCACTGAATCGCTAGTCTGAAAAAGTTATTAAAGCCATCCAGTTCAGTTCTGCCTTCAGCCCTCTGTAGGGCAGATTAAATCAAATGTTGGACAGGCAGACTTCTCTAATTTCCTGTTCTTTCCTTCCAACAGCTGCTTCCCAACTGGGTCTGAAAAGTTCCTTTTTCTTCCAGAGCAGAGAGGTTTTGGGGGGAGGGAAAATAAATCAGACTATGGGGCACCACCATGAGAAACAACCTCATAACTTTTCTCTTTATGCAAATAAATCCACATTAGTTTGACTTCAGAAAACTGGCTGTATAAAAGGTATCTCATCAGAAGATGTCTGTGGGCAACTGACACTTGAATAAGCTTCCCCAACCTGGTGCCCCTTAGAGGTACTACATTCTCACCTCATATATGCCATAAGGCTGCCTGGCAGCTCTGTGGATCACCTGACTATCTTGCTTCCAGAGGCTTGAGTTCTGCCATCTATGAAAGGAGTGATATCTGGGTACAGAAGGATTTTTCTCCACTGGCTAGCTTGGAGGGCAATAAGTATCATCGGTTCATACAAAACTATCCCTCACTGCCAATTTCTCCTGGCCTCCTCAAGCCCTTGTTGTAGCATTTCCATCCTGCCGTTTGTTCGATCAATGTAGGTTCAAAAAGGCTTCTGTTATTTGTCTCCCCAGTAGACAAGGAAATGGACTGGTGTGAGAGGGAACCCACCTCCATGCACTGGGGAGAATAGCAAAGGGGGTGGCAAGGACGGATATCACTTGGCCAGTTTGGAGGCAGCAAAAATGCCCCCCAATTGGTCAACCAATTTTTTTGGCATTTCTCCCAGCAGATTTGAAGGCACATCTGATAATGCCCTGAATCCAGAGTCTTAGGTACGAGTAACCTAGGCAAAACGGTGACCAGTTAATGTTAGTTTTGTATGTATGAACTTAGGAACTCAGGCCACACCCATGCAGAGCTTTTAGGGGCCTTATAAGCAGAGATGATCTCATATGATAATTTAAACAGAAATCCTTAAAAGGTTAAAAACCTTCCAAGCTGTCATGCCAGCACATTTCCTTTTTTCAACAAAACAAAACTGAATGTGTCACTTCCAGGTTGAGTATAAAGTTCCAATTTTTTTTTCTTATATGCAATCAGTTTGGTGCAGACACTTAATAATGGCATCTTGGTTGTCGTTAAAAATGTATCTTTGTACATGGCATTGTTGAAAGTGTAGGATCCTCCCATAAAATATAAATGATGAATGGGCTATGGATATGCTTTCCTTGATAAAATTAGCCTATCATTTCATGTAAGATTTGTAATGGGGAGGAAGATACAGCAGGAGCCATCTGGGTTACCTGTATTATATTTTGATCAGAAGAATAACTTGCCAGAGAATTAATTGCCTGAATTAAGGATGTTGCTTACTGAAACACATTCATAACCATCTTTCCAGAGGAGAGAAAAAATAGGAAGATATAGAAATAAATCCTGCCCACAATTGCAAGAAATAACTGACAGATCATTTCCACACAAGTGGTTTATAGCATCTTCTGGAGTCATCCAATCATTCTTCTGCAAAAATAACAACAATGAGGACAGGCTTTATATCACTTCAACACTGGTTGGGTGATGCTATGGAGATCCTAAAAGCCAAAGAAGTCACTGATGCAGAAATGACCTCTGCAGCCTAAACTATGGGTAAGTGCCTTACCCACTAGTTAGGGACTAGACAAACTAGAGAAATTATGGCCTGCCCCAGTTATACTGGAAGCAGCTATCTTGGACACCTTTCCAGCCACCTTTAATTATAATTTATTTTGGACCATTTAGAAGAAAAAAGCTTTACAAAATCCTTGGTGGCCTGATCAGAGCCAGAGCCACTGTAAATAAGGTTGGGAAGGCTTAACTTGCTCCACTGTTCTGTGCCCTTCTTTCCCACACACACATCCACAGGAAGGGTGGAAAGGAAAGGAAAGGAAAGGAAAGGAAAGGAAAGGAAAGGAAAGGAAAGGAAAGGAAAGGAAAGGAAAGGAAAACGCAAACGCAAACGCAAACGCAAACGCAAACACAGAGGGGGTATGGTTGGAGCAGCTCCTTTTTGTAGGTCCCCTGTAGCCTCATCTTTGTTTCTAGAGACAAAAGCAGAGGTTTAATCTTCAATTAACCTTAAGTTAACCCTTCCTACCTGATTGAAATGACACAGAGAGACCCAGGTAAGATAAGTCAACTCACAATTACTCTGGGGGTTTTGGATTTAGTTTGAACATGATCCTGGTCCAGAAATGACCTGGCTACAGGTTCACACCACACAGTAGATCATTTACTGATCTAATTAAGTCTGTCGTATGAATGCAACCTCTGTCTTTTGCCTATGGAATTGATGATACTGCAAGTTTAAATATTGAGCAGGAAAGATGTGCTGGTCCTTCTTATGAGGACTCTGCACCAGTTTGAAACTAGGACTGGGCTTCTGTCTTCCCATGATGTCTCCTGTAATCCAAAGCTGAGCCTTTTTACTTCTGACTTGGCTGTGATAAATTTGAAACTGCAATAAAAGTACTCTTTCCTTTGAAACTCTGCAACTTTCCAGAGCTTGTGGTTTCTTTCCCCCCATTTGCAGCAAACTTTGCCTCACCCCTGCTTTCCAGTTTATGAGCTTCAGCCCCCAAGCAGGTCTTTCAAGGGAAAAGATGGCATGGTGCCTTTTCATCTCTGTCCAATGTCAGTTTATTTATTTAGAAAATGTATATGGCTGTCCGTCTTAAGCAAATAACTCTGGGCGGCTAACAATTCAAAACCAATATCAAACAACAAAAAATACAATTACAAGCTAACATAAGAAATGCAAAAACTGAGGCATTTCACAAACACAGTCCCAAATGCACCTGTATCAGACTCTGCTAACAAACCAGCCCTAACACCTGATTTATATGGCCTCCCGGAAGACCAACAGGGTCAGGGGCATCCAGATATTCGGGGGGGGGGGATGTCCACAGGGCAGGCACTGAAACAGAGAAGTTACATTTGCTGGGTCCCATAAGATGGCATTGCTTCACTGAGGGGCTTGGAGCAGACATAGGGCTTTAAAGGTGACAAAGTCTACTGGAAGCCAGTATAGCTTGCGCAGCAGTGGTGTTACATGGTGCATGTTAGTGCCACTGCATTCTGGACCAGTTGAAGCTTCTGAAGGCTCTCTAAAAGCAGCCTCACGTAGAGTGTGTTGCAGTCATCCATGTGGGAAGTGACTAGGGCATGAGTGATTATGAGCAGAGTCTCCTAATTCAGAAATGGGCACAACTGGTGCACCAGATGGATTTGTGCAAAGGCCCTCCTAACCATGGCTGCCACCCAGCCCTTGAGCAGGAGTTGTGTCGGCTCACCAGCAAATCAGGAGGCTTTGTTGTGGATTCCAGTGTAGAAAAAAGGTCTACCCTTATAGTAAGGACTGCTTTAAGAAATAGGTATGTTATCAACAGACAATATCAGGATTCACCCATCATTTTAACCCAAAATGTGGCTTGTTTCATGAGTGACTTAAGACTTTCCCACACTGCAGCCTTAAGTTATTTGACTCCAGCATGTAAATCAGCTTAGGAAATCCTGTCCTAGATTTCAAACCCTTCCTTTCCTTTAGCTATGGAAGAATGTTCTATCACAACCTCTGATTGGTAGATTCCATGCTTCATTGCCCCTCCTAGCTGTTTCCTCCTAGCCAGGAAAAAAAGCACCAATCACCTTCCTTTCCATGGACATGTGGGTTCCATTGCTTGAGCCTTCTTTTCTTGACTCCTCCTTATACCTTTTACTGGTGGATTGGTAGAAAAAGGAAACAGCTTCATTTCACCAGTCTTCCTACCACTGGGGCTAAAAGGGAAAACTGGCAAAACTCTTGTCAATTGATTAAAAAGCAAAAAAGAAAGAAGGGTGCTCTAAATATAAATATATGGATGCCCCAAAATACACATACTCAACATACCTCTCCATCCAATTGTATCATTACCAGGGACCCCAACATACAACATAGCAAAAGAACTTACAAAAAGGCTTGGACATCTCAGAGAGGGGAGCGAATATCCTATCAACTCCCCACTACAGTGCCTCCAGAAAATCAAATATCTAAAAATAGATGAAGGTGAAATTATGGTTTCATTCAATGTCACAGCACTCTTTACATCCATAGACCCAGAACTAGCAAAAAAAAAAAAAATCCATGGCAGCAGTACTATACAACACACCCAACCTAACCAAATACACTAAGATTAAAATACCCAGAATCATGGACCTCATCAACCTCTGCCTCACTACTTTCAGTATGAATGACAAATAGACCAACAAATCAGAGGAACATCATGGGATCACCACTCTCAGGACTCATAGCAGAGATTGTAATACAGCATCTAGAAACTCTAGTACTCCCATGCATACAACCAAAAGTATGGATCCAGTATGTAGATGACACCTTTGTCATAATAAAAAAGGAACAACTAGAGAAGACACATTGAAACAATCAACAGCATCTTCAAAGGAATAAAATTTACAAGGGAAGAAGAAAACAACACACTACCCTTCCTGGATATCCATATCAGCAGAGGAAATGATGGCAAATTAGAAACACAAGTCTGTTGAAAAACAGTCCACACTAACCAAGTGCTCCATTACCAAAATAACCCAATCTCCTGCAAGAGGAGCTGTATAAGAACATTATTCAGACAAGCACAAACATATTGCAGCAACCCAGAACACCAGAAAAAGGAAACAGATCACCTATACAACATCTTCCAACAAAATGGATACCGACACAACTTTATCAAAAAGTGCCTGACCACTCAACCCACTACAGCACAACCAACACAAGATACAAAAAGGATAACACTGCCAGACATCAGAAACATCTTAGAAACAACCAACAAACTATTACAACCACATGGCATCACCGTAGCACACGAACCAACTAAACCTCCAAAACATCTTAAGTAAACCAAAAGACCCAGTAGCCCAAGAAGAAAAAACAGGAGTCATCTACAACATACAGTGTAAAGACTCTAATAGCCACTATGTAGGACAGACTGGCAAAAGACTAGCAGAGCACATCCATGAACACCAACTAGCAGTCAGAAGGCGCAATGAAAACTCCTTAATCTCACAACACTTGGACAGATTCAACCATAGTTTCGAATGGGAAATGGTCAGCATCTCAGACGAAGCTGAATCCAAAAACACAAGGGAATACCTGGAAGCTTGACATTTAGACAAGTCAGCCACCAACAGGCACATAAACAACGTTTACATACCATTCAAAAGAGATAATAAAAAAGCTAAAAAGGAAACAAAAAGATCAGAACATCTCCTTGCCAGCAATCAACTTCCAGATAAGCAAGGTTTAACACCAGGATTAACACCAGACAAACAAGCAGTAAACAATACCCTAATCAAGGAACTACCAACTCAGACAAGCAATCAAGCAGTAAAACAACAGCCTAATCAAGGAACTGCCAAGGAGAAAAGACCCCCACCAACACTGACAGGGCAAGCTACTGTATATAAACAGAGAGCAAACCCCACTCCCTTCTAGCACTGAAGATATTACCTAGTCAGGTAATGAAATGCCTGCAAGAAAACAACCAAGCTCAGAGAACACCAAGGACTCCACAGATTTAGACTGAATCTGACAGTGTTTGCACCATTAAATATTCTAATTGTTTATGTTCAGTTTGTTAACCATTTATTTTATTTGTTATCTACTGTTCCACAACATCCTTAACTGGATCAGTGGGACAAAGGATGTTAATGTGTTTTGGGAACCCCCAAAAGGGGTGACTTGACCTGATGATCTAACAGCAAGGAGGTCAAATTTAGCCCTGCACGGGCCCAGTCTTACATAAGGTTAAGCTAACTCTCCTTGGTAAATTGTGTAGCAGTTTGCTGATTTTGGAGTCACCTTTATCTCTGTAGGCTCATCTTCATGCCCAGAGTCTTTTGGAGTGTGAGGACTAGAAGAAATCTAATAAAATAAATGTCCCATGCACCATTTTAAAGGAATATATTCTCATGACATTGCCATTTTCTCATCCCCAGCTTCCCACAGTGGCAGCTTAAAATCATCTTTTGCTGTTCCAGTTTTTCTTTCTCTCTTCTTCCAACAATGTCATGCCATACAAATGTACAGTCTATGGTGCCTCATTGACTGTGTTGGTGATGACACCGTCAGAAGCTGGGATTTGCCTAGATCCTACTGGCCATCTAAGGCTGTCATGGGCACCACTGCTTCCTTCTGGTCTCAATTGTCCATGGCCATTTTGGAGTGTTCTGAAAATCACCAGGCTGACAGGTCAGTGGAGTGGAGGAAGGGTGTGGGATGAAGCAAGAGGGAGGTCCCCCATCCTGCTTCACACACCACCACTTCTCTGCTCTGTCGAACTGTCACCCAGCTATTTCTGGAGACAGGGAACCAGGCCATTGTAAACAGGACAGTGGCGCAGAATTGAACTGCCATTACTGACAAATGTGGTATGGCTCTATCCCCTTAGTAAGACACTGTTTCCAATTGGCAGTAATAGCTGCTTTTTCTGAAAGTCTATTGATTTAAGCAGATGTTCAAAATGCATACAGGCAGCAGACAGTAACTAATTCTGTACTGATTTATTTTCCAGCTCCTGTAACAAATAATGAGACAGTTTATACTGAAATCAGAAAAGCTATTCATGGTAAGTAAACAAATGGGGAAAAAATTAGATACAAAAGTTAAGTATCTTTGTGTGGTACTTTTACATATATATACTGTATTTTTTAAAGAAAGAAGAAAGCAAAAATAATGAATTCATAGATTGCAAACTCATACCAGACATAATGAATATTCTTGGAAATAACTCATTATTTTCTGTGGAATTTAAGTTCTGAATATACATCTCCATAAGATTCTTCTGTTGGCAAATTATAGGAGATCAACAAAGGCGTATAACTTTGCTGAGAGTAAATCCCATTAATGGGAGTTACTTCTGAGTAGTCATAAACTCAGGGATTACTGTGCAGGCAATTATTAAACTTGTCATCAACATCATGCTGACGGTATGTCTCAGTACATCCTTAAAGACATACCCTGTCTTATTCCTGTTGCATTATTATTTCCCCATCTGAATAAACTTCTCCAAAGTTCCTTGTATGCAGTCATTTAAGCTTGATGGCATAATAGTTTATGGTTTAAAAGCTTTCCTTGCTTCTCAAACAATAGAAACACCTCATTGTTGCTTTCTATTTCTTTTTTTCTCTCTCTCTCTTCTTATGATGGTCCATATGTTGCTGAGCACCCTCGGGTGCCACGAACCTTGTCTTTTCACTGTCCTGTGGAGGTTGGGCCACACAATGGATTGATTATGTGCCATCAACTCTTAGCAACCACACAGATAGATTTTTTCCATGATGATCTGTCCCTAACCTGGTCTTTCAAGTCTTTGAGCAGTGCACCCATCACTCCTGTAACTGAGTCCATTGACCTTGCTGCTGGTCACCCTCTACTTCTCTTTCCTTCCACCTTGCCCAGCATTATAGCCTTCTCCAGAGAGTTGGGTCTTCGCATAATGTGTCCAAAGTAGGATAATTTGAATCGGGTTGTTTGCGCCTCAAGTGAGAACTGTGGGTTGATTTCTTCAATGATCCATTTGTTTGTTTTCTCATAATTACTATTTCTCAGGTACAGAACTTATTTTTATTTAGGGATGAATGGCAACCATTCGTTAATTTGCACAGGAAATAGTGCACATTAATTTGTACATCCTTGGCAAATATACAATTTATTTTCCAAAATGTGGGATGATCATCATTACCTCTATGTTAATAATATAACTAAAATGTTTTATTCTGAGCTTTTCCTTTTTTTTTTTTTTTATGGGAAGGCTTTTTAACCAGATTGAAGTTTAAACTTTTGGGGATATTATTGTTAGTGCTGTTTTACTGAACTTTATCTTTTATAGTTTGGAAAACTGTTCTGGAAAAAATGCATATACTAAAAAAAAGACTCCTGAAATATAGGAATGGAAATATAGAAGGTCTTAAGGAATAAGCTGATCTCTCACTCGCTTGCTCTCTTCTATACTCTGTTTATGCTCCAGTCCTAATATTATCTTGGGATAATATTCTAGGGACCTTAGAAAAGATCATCCTCCTAGCTTCTAGAAGAGTTTTTTGCAACTCTTATGGTGCACCGATGTTGGTGGGAGGGAGGGGGGATAGATCAGAGAGCAGACATTTGGTGCACTATGAAATGAAAAGTCTTTTCAATCTATAAACATGCCCGATGTAAAGGTAGAGTGACATCAGCTGGGAGTTAGTATTAATGTTTCCATTTCTTAGAATGCAAAACTATTCCCTAGGGTGAGGGAACATTTTGTGCAACAATTCTCTTTATGGAAAATTTATACTAAAGAAAATTTCTCTGTTACCTACTTCATCAACTTAAATGAGTTTGTGGAGGGCATGCATTACTTCAAATCTTTTAAAATCAATACTTTGTTTGTTGTAGGGAAGGAAGTCCAATGAAATGTCATTTGATTAAAAATGTGCTCTAGATTTGATTGGTGAGAAGCACCCCTTAATCTGGCGTTCCACCTTCTCTCTTGCACATATCCGGCTGCAGCTTCAGTTATTTTTGGAAACATAGTAAGAATGTATTGTTCTAATTACATCTGTTTTTCCTGTGGGATACACAGGAAAAGTGTTTCAAATAGATAAGCAGGACATCACACAACAGTAAAAGCAGATTGGAAGTTTATTATGTTACTTATTGAAACCTAACTGTGTTGACTTTATTTATGGAGATAGTTCATAATGGTATTTATATAAAAACACACATTCCACCCATACAGGAGATGCAACAAAATGGGGAGGTGGGGAAATATCTTGGCCTATGAACTCCATTTAGAAGTCTTCCAGCTCCACTAATTTCTGCCATCCGTTAATGCAAAGCAGGGGAATGGGTGGCCTTCTGGATGGTACTGAACTAACCATTCCCAGCAGTCTCAAGCAGCATGGTCAATGCTGATGCTGACAGGGACATCTGGAAGGATTCCACCCCCATTTCACTCATAATTGAAAAATGTACTTATTTTATTTGTTACATTTACATTATGCCTTTCAATAGAAAAGAACTGTGCCTTTCCACCAAGAGGTCAAGATGGTCAAGGTAGTTCTCCTTCAGTTCCTACAACAACAATAATGTGGGCTCAATTAGAGATGGTGATTGGCCCACTTAGTGAGCTTCCATGGCTCAGATTGGATTCGAACCTGGTTTTCCCAGGATTCGAACCTGGGTCTCCCACTCCTAGTCCAATACTGTAATTACTGCACCAATGCTACACTGACATTAGAGTTATGGAGATATGCAGGAAGAGGTTTGGTTCCTAGAGGAACACCATGACCAGAGAAAATGTTATGTCATTATTATTATTTATTGTAAAAATTAATTTTCTCTACCAAATAGTTTTCTTTACATTATTTTCTCAGGCGCAAACATGGTGCCAGGATGCATTCCCCAAATGTTGCCCCTAAATTTTAATTTTTAATGTAATTGAAGGGGGAAATTATAACATGCATGGGGAATCATTTAGTAATCTTCATTTTAATTAAACTGCCACTACGTTTATTTTAGTTTTTGTCTTGCCCATCTGACTTCTTTGGAATCTATGGCCCGTATAACAGGAGGAGCCCCCGTCTCCTCCCTCATCAAATTTCTTCCGTTGTGCACTTCACTCTACTTATGAAACTTTTCTTTCTCTCTGCTGGGTGATAGAGATGACTATGTTGTGTGTGTGGTCTTTTGTTGTGCCTTGAATATTGCCCACTTGTATTTGAACGTTTGTTATAATGGAAGAATGTAATTGACTGCGAACATTACTTCATTCTATTAGGCATTGTCCAAGTAAGATCTCTCTCTGTTTCTCTCTCGGCTTGCTGTTTGAAGACGCTTATTTTATGTCCTGCTTTATACTATTTAGTTGATTGTTGTACTTTAAAGCTATGTACTACCTTGGATATATTCCTGTATTGCAAAAAAAAATCAGGGTACTTGTTCATTATCTTATAAATTTGATGGGCTCTTCATATTATAATGAAGAAAAGCACTGCTCAGGTCTCTCAAAATTAATATGCACATCTAGTGCTGGGGATTGTGCTGTTTGCATCTTGTTGTTTAGTAGCCACAAAAACCCCTAGGTGTTGATAATTGAGTGACAGTATCTAGAAGCCAAGAGGAGAAAAAGTCAGCACATCACTGGCACAAACCAATAAGAAGTCAAGGAAAAGATCCAGAATGAAACCCATGGTTTGAAGAAGGTTTCTTTTCCCTAGAATTGTAGAGATGGAGGTGGCCACAAGGATCATCTAGCTCAACCCTCTGCAATGTGCAGAGAAACCCTCCTAGAGAGGTGGCTTTCCAGCGTCTCCTTAAAAGCCACCAGAGATGAAGAAACCTGTATAGGTAGGCTACTCCACTGTTGTGTAGATCTTATTCAGAAAGTTTTTCCTGGTATTTAAATAAAATCAAGTTAGGTGCAACTTATACCTTTTATTTTTGGTCCTGGTTTCTGTGACCATGGAAAATAGCTCATGACCGTTAACATGGCTATTACGTCTCCTAAGTCTTTTCTTCACATTGAACATCCTAAGTTCCTTCTGCCTGTCCTCATAGGGTGTTTCCTCAGGGATCTTTCTTATCCATGTTACTGTCCTCTGAGCCCTCTCCAACCTGTCAATATCCTTCTGGAAATGTGCTGAGAATTGTACACAGTTCTCTGGGTGTGGTCTCAGCAGTGCCAAGTTGAAGGGAACAATGTCATACCTGTTTTTGATACACTGATTCTTTTCTTGAATCATCTGTCACGTAGCATTATTCCTTATGTCACCTATGCCAGAACATTTCTGTTATAACCAACACAACCTTGGTTATTGCCTATAATGTTTTCCCAAAATTATATATTTATTTCATTTATATTTTGTTTCCTACTGATCTCTTTCGCCTCCATTTTGCCCGTCTTCCACAGCCAACTATCTATGTGCAACTATGTCTGCCAGTTTAAAAACACCCTTCATGAACTGATAAAGTACATTTTGGTCCAGAGATATTATGTTCATCATCTTAAAAAAATTTTGCTATAAAACTAGCCTGCCTGCCCACCCCAGGTTGTTCTAATCAACAATCTACTGATTTGTGCTTTGCGCTGGAAGAATGACTCAGTTTCTAGGCGGCAGTTTTAGTGTCGCGACAGGAAGAGCTCAGCTCAACATATTGCCACCCACAACATTCTGTGGAAAAACAAATATTCTCCGCAGCATGAGAAAGCCTCACAGCATTTTACAGAGCTCTAGAAACTTGTCATGCCAATTTCCTGCCTCCAAAGTCCAGACCTCCAAAGGATGGTCTTATATGAGCTGAGATCCTTCCTAGCAAATACCAACCTAGTCTGGAATTTCATGAAAATGTTAAACATCATTTTAAAAATACTAGGGTTGGATAATTTGCCTGGACCTGGACATAGCATCATGGATCAGTGATGTCCAAAACAAAAAGACCTTCATATGCACTTTGCTCATGGCTTTATATATGTTTGGATTCACATTTTTGCAGGAGCCTTTTTAGTGCTAATATGCTGATCCAACCTTTAAGCATGTCTTGAATGCATTTGCAAAACAGTTGGCTATTCCAATGTACCTTTGT